GTCGAAATAAAGCGAAAAAACGCTCAGAACTTTTTACTTTACCTAATATATATATATATATTTATAATGTGTGTGTGTTTTTGTGTGGCTGAAATATTAAAATAATATAATTAATAATAGAATATTATAAAAAGTTATAAAATTTTACAAAAAGCACTTTGAATGTTTGAGTTAAATAAATTAGTAAATAAATATATAATAATAATATTGTTAATGTCTCGATTTGATTATATTAACTCATGATTTGATTTATATTAACTCATTCATAGATATCCTTAAAACAAAAATACTATTAGGTTGGTAAGAAAGTTATGTTGTTTTTTTTTAGGAAATTTCAATTTCTTATATTTAAGCTCATAAGTGAAATTAATTAATGAAATATTGACCACTGTTTTCTATGACCTTCCTCTATCTGTCAACAAGGTCATTTATACTGGATGTATAAAGGATCCTATCCTTTGAAGCCAAGAAATCTACCTCTGCCCTCTGAACATCCTGAAAGTTTCGAAATTTTTTTCTTTAAGAAAATTTTACATCGAGAGGAACAAGTGGTAGTCAGATAGTGCCAGGTCAGGTAAATATGATGGATGTGATAAAACTTCAATACCAAGAGCCTGGAGTTTCTCCTTCGTCCTTAAAGCCACGTGAGGCCTGGCATTGTCATGATGGAAAATACCTTTCAGTTATACAGTGCTGGACGAAGTTCACATATTTTTGAATCTAGTCGGGTTAGCTGATCACAATATAGGTCTGCTGTGACAGTTTGATCTAGATGCAACAGTTCCCTGTAGATAGGACCTCGACAATCCCACCAGATGTAAAGCATTAGCTTTTTTGTTGCAAATTAGCCTTCGCAAGGGTAGGAGGCGAAATGCCTGGCATTATCTTGACTCTTTTTCTTACTACATTATCATACACAATCCACTTCTCGTCACCAGTAACCAAGCGATCCAAGAATGGCTCATATTGTTGTCGAACAAGCAAAGAAGAAGCAATAGAAATTTGATCTGCTATATTTTTTTCGCTTAATTTACGGGGAATCCAACGACACCATTTGTAGACAAAGCCAAGCTTGTTCAAGTGGTTTTCAATTGTTATGTGGCTAACGCTTAACTTATCCCCGATCTCCCTCGTAGTCAATAGTGGTTCATTACCCACTAAAGCCCTCAGAATGTTGTCATCAAGCTCCTTTAGTCTTCCGATGCGAGGTTCATCTTGAAGCTTCATGTCACCTGACCTAAATTTTTCAAACCATCTTTGAAGCGTACGCACTTTAACTTTAGATGGTCCAAAGACGAAACACAAATTTTTATGATCTTCCGTCGCATTATAACCAAGTTGGAACTCATAAAGCATAGAGTGCCTAAAATGAAATTTTTCTTGATCTGCCATATACCCCTATTGCTCAAAATTTAATGATTAAAAAATACCTATAATATCAAAAACCAAAACGTGGAACTATTAGTTTTCGATCAATACCAAAATTGTTTAAATCGCACAAAGAACAACGAAATAATGAACATTTCAATTAGAGCAACATAAAAACGATATAACTTTCTTACCAACTGTTTGTGAGCGAATGCACTAGCTTCTCTCGTGCAATGCTCCGCTG